AAGAGATTTGTCCAGGCTGGGCATGGTAGTTTATTTCTGTAATCCAAGCACTTTGGGAGGCTGAGGCGGGTGGATCAGGAGGTCAGGAGATCAAGACCAGCCTGGCCAACATGGTGAAACTCCATCTCTACTAAAAATACAAAAATTAGCCAGGCGTGGTGATGTGTGCCTGTAGTCCTAGCTATTCAGGAGACTGAGGCAAGACAATTACTTGAACCCGGGAGATGGAGGTTGCAGTGAACTGAGATTCACCGCACTCCAGCCTGGGCAACGAGAGTGAGACTCTATCTCAGAAAAAAAAAAAAAAAAGAGAGAGAGAGAAAGAGAGAGAGATTTGTCCATATGGGTAATGAAATAACATTTCTGTAAAGTAGCCTTTTCTATGTTTATTGCAGATGTTTGTATGTCAGAACTGTGAGTCTACTTGCTTTCTCACACAGCATCATTATTTCCTTATGCCTAATAATTTTCAGCACAAACATTTCCCAGCTCTGTCCCAATCAAGTTCTTATTTCTCTGATCAGAATTACAATTTATAAATGTAGGTCCACATGTGGGTATCTTAAGAAGTAGTGAGTGAAATACCAGTGTAGAAATACACAAATGAGTGTGAACATATAATAGAAAAACAGAAAAACAATGCAAGAAAAAGTGCATGTACTAAGTATGGAATGAACTGATGCAGTTAAGAAAGACAACTCAAAAGGCAACTCATGGTTGGGCACAGTGGCCAACACTGGGAGGCTGAGGCGGGAGGACTGCTTGAAACTAGGAGTCTGAGACTAGCCTGGGCACCATACCGAGAACTTGTAGCTATTAAAAAAAAAAAAGAAAAAGAAAAGAAAAACAGCTGGGCATGATGGCACATGCCTGTAGTCCCAGCTACTTAGGAGACTGAGGTGTGAGGATTGCTTGAGCCCAGGAGATAGAGGCTGCAGTGAGTTGTGATCACTCCACTGCACTCCAGCCTGGGTGACAGAGTGAGACCCTGTCTCACACAAAGACAACTCATTTGAGCCAAGGCTCGACTATACTTTTAATTGTCCACATAGAAAAGAGGAAAAATAATGCTTTTCATCTTTTAAAATTTTCCATTTACCTTTTAGTAAGACAAATTCTTATCTTTACGTAAAACTGTGAAAGAACGGTTACATAGATTATTGCAGCTTAGATTATTTTCAACAAGTTTAAATTCCACACGTAGGGATACATACCATTTTTATCAGCTATACTTTAAAATGTCAGTCTTTAAAAATTCTTCTATGTGTATATGTGGTTTCTTCTTCTTTTCAAAAATTCATGCCTGTGAAGTTTTTAGGAATATTTTTCAAAACTTCAGTACTGAAGCATTAACTTTTTATGTGATATAGCACCTTTAAATTTGTGTTTTTATTCACACAAGAGCATTATTGTACATTAAATCATTCCTTTTGCTAGTATTTATAGTTTCAGCGAACAGCAGTATAGTACCTAAATTAAACTACTAGGAATAACTGAATGCCTGCCACAGCAACAGAGCTTTAATGAGGATAATTATTACACATATATCCATTCCAACATAGCAGTGCATATTTTACATGACCAGCCTCTTACGTAGTGAAAAATAAAACTACTGTTTTAAAATGTCAAGTTCCTCAACCTTACTGGATTTTAAAACAAAACAAACAAGAGAAACAAGGATTTTCTAATCTATCTACAAGCAGAAATGCCAGAAAATAAAGCTGCAGTATTCCGTACAGCTCAAATTTCCTTTTCTAAGTCATGACATTTCTCTTTCATTCTCTCTGTTTTCTTTTTCTTCTAAGATAAGAAAATGTAAAACATAAATGAAAAGATAAAAACTGCTTAATATGGCAAGGAACAAGAATGAAACTGGATTTTTTTTTTTTTAGTAAAGAGGCAAATTTTATACAACTGTACAAATTAAAAGTGTTATGCAATGAAAAACAATAATGGAAATAGCATAGTGCTACATACTATCCCAGTTTCCTGTGCTCTGAAGAACAGCTGCTATACTAAATACTAACTTTACTTATCTGAAGTATTCAATACCTTCTGATAACCCAAGCAGCATTATATTATAGCTGGAAAAATACTACAAAAGGTCCTCCTACCTCTCCCAGAAGAAGTACACCAAGAAACTGAAGCCTGATGAATAACTACCAAGAATCTTGTCTTTTAATACAAGTCTCCTTCTAAATACAAAATACTAGGCTTTTGTAATGTGGTTAAAAGGAATAATGGAAAGGAAATGACTGGCAAGAAACATTTCCTATTTTGCAAGACACAAATATTTGGAAGCCACTTTAGTTTCTTACTCCTTTTTGGCCTAATATTAGGAAAATATTAGGCACCTACTTAATTCACAAATTCATGAAACAGAGTGGACAACAGCCTTGAGTAGGGGAAGCATTTGGAACAGCAATCAACTACTTAATTACGTAACGGGGAGCTAGGCACACAAAGAAAAGGGCTCAGAAGAAATATCTTGAAAAGTAACCAATGTAGAAGCTGAGGACAGAAGTGAGGCTAATCAAATGTTCTTAGGAAGATGTTTTCCCCTTGAAAATATGCGCTCCCCCCAATAAAACACGTAATTACTACTCAAGGAAAATACTCTGTCTAAAGAATGTCACAATTTGGAGTGAAGTTATTTAACAAAACAGGGAATAAAGCCTTTATGTTGGCTGTAGCATTTATTTTATTTGTGTAGATTATACTTAAAATATTTCCTTCATACATACTTCTGTTAAATTTTTTTTCCTCATTCTTGAGTTTTACAATGTCTCCTATCTAAACTTCAAATTTCATTAGCACCTGCTACATTTGTTTTAGTGCCAGATAAAGGTATCAAATGATGACAGACACTCATGTGAGGTATACAATTAATTAAAGACTAGAAATTGGGATATTATCATGTAAGACATTTGAGAGGCCAAAAGTCATATAATTTTGATACTTATGCATGATGTTACAGTAATAATTCATCTTTATAATTATTTTGATGTAAGTGGCATATCAGAATTTAACTTATTTACTTAGATCTTAAGGAATATTAGATGTATTTTTGCATGAACACTCAAATCATGCTATTATTATCGGTCATTGGGAGAACAAAGTAGTGATCAGGTGGTCTAAGGCACATATAGACCCAATAATTTAGAAATTTTCACTATTATGAGATACGCTTTTCCTACTAAATATGTCAGTAATGGCTCTTGAAATGGGGGCAAGGTGAATAAGTACCCAGTAAATTGTGTACTTTTATAAAGTAGTGTTTTTGAGAACATAAACTGAGATGCAAAAGGAATTTCCTTACTTTAAAAAAAGTGACTGCTATCTTAGTAGACGACTTTAAAATAACTTACCTTATATTTAATGGTTAGTCATTTACATACTTAAGAAATCAGCAGCAATCTAAAAAAAATCAGAAGGCAGTTTTCTTGGATAATGAACTTGTGACTCCAAGATAGACAACAATGTGGAAATTAACTCAAGAAACTTTCTATTGTAGTAACTCAGTGGTTTCTCACTTTATAAAGGTTTGGAAGAATTAATGAATTTCTTTTTTCTTTTTTTTTAAAATATGGTCTCGCTCTGTTGCCCAGGCTGGAGTGCAGTGGCGTGATCACAGCTCACTGCAGCCTCGAACTCCTGGGCTCAAGTGATCCTCCACATCCTGGCCTCCTGAGTAGCTAGAGCTACAGGCATGAGCCACCATGCTCAGTTAATTTTAACTTTTATTTTTGGAGAAACAGTGTCTCACTATGTTGATCAGGATGATCTCTAACTCCTGGCTTCAAGTGGTTCTCCTATTTTGTACTCCTAAAGCCCTAGGATTATAGGCTTGAGCCACCACACCCCACCAGTGAATTTCAAAATGCAAATTAACCTCTTTTAGACACAGGATCTGGCAGAGTAATGAAACTGGTCTTTCTTAATTTCTTTCTTTTATCACCTTCCTTTTCTTATTCTTGCCTCTCAATTTGTTATATATAGTTACAAAATATATGAATCAGGATTTATGTTGGCATGAAAATTATATACAATATGAAATCACTAAGTGAAGAAGGGAAGGGGTGATTTGGCTCTAGTCCCAAAGTTAATGTCATAAAGAGAAATAATGTGAAGTATCTGTATTTCTTAGATCTTCTATTTTACTCTTAATACCAAAAAAGAGTCCTATCATTTAACATTTTTATATAAAGTATTTTGCATTGTTTATTTTTGATGTGACCAAATGAAAGCTTTCTGAATTTTAAAGTGCAATTCACTGTATATTAACCAACAGCCTGCAGACTACCTAACTGCTTCAAACTTGGCATCAAATGCTGTCTTTTTGGTACTTATAAGTAGGGTAAGAATGAAGATACTTGACAAGGGTGCAACAGTACGTGTTGGCTAAGGTCTTTTCAAAAGCCCATTCTAGATTATTCAGGCAGGCTCATCAGTTGACGGCTAGCCTTACCTTTCCTTCTTCTGTTTGTCTCACTGCATTTTTACTCATTTCATTCTCTGTCAAGTCCTCTTCCAGAAGAGGCAATGGAAACACATGAAAATGAAACCCATTAATTTCCAACATTCAAAATGAAATCAACCACATCATCAATCATGAGGGTATACTGTCTGACCATTTTTCTGGATCATTTTTTATTAGCAACATAGTCCCTTTAGTTTGTACTTTACAACTAGTATTTTCTACCAGGATGCACAGTTAAAAAAAAATGGCTTGAAGAGCCAAATATGCTCAAAATATATAAAATATAATTATAAATATGGTCATTCTCTTGAGATCTGTGCCTGACGGAATCACATTTTGTGAATTTGCAATAGTTTGGTAATAATGCACACAAAATTTCCCATAATTACTAGGAATAACTGAAAGTTGGACGTATGAAACTTTCACTAACTCAGAATCATGTAGCCATTTGGGTCAGCAAAAAGTATAAAATATTATTCCCAATAACCACTGTGGACAAAAATGTAAACAGGATAATACAATATCTTGAAAAAATTTTTAATATTTGCCATTTTTTTTGCCTGTGCTATTACTATATACATTGATTTAGTAATAAATATACTACCATTACATAGAGTGCAATATTTTTAGTATTCATAACGGGTTGAAATTAATGCTGCTATTACCTCAAGAAAGGAATAAATAAATATCATGTCCAAATTCCAAACTAATGCTCAAAAGGTTATCATTAACAAACACTATAAAATAAACATGTTGGGCATTATCTTTTTAAGCATGATTCCTGTAAACATAGCAAAAATCACTTTTCTCAGTCCTGACATTTCACATGATGGCTTTAAAAGGAAATATAACATACAAATCCTATCACTTCTTTTTTTGCATAGGGAACGAATCAATTATCTTTTTAAATGCAGCAATCTTTCAATGAAATGTTTTCATCACATAGTACTTGTTTTCTGTATGAATTCAGAACTTTTGAGCAATAAAAGTGCTCTGCAGAAGTTTATAAAATATGCTTTCTAGATTTAAAATTTAACAGAAAAATTTCCAGCCAAGTCGTAGGTATGATTTTAAAATATTATGTACATAATATATGACTACAGGAGGAAATTCCTCACTGTAGCACAGCACAGTGTACAAACATGAAGCACAGTGTTCAGTAGAATTTCCCTTCAGGTTTTCCTCACATTGGTGCACACGTGGCTGACTACAACATTACACAACATGCCCCATTCTACTTGTTGCATACAAAGTAGAAGAGGGATGTGAGGACAAATTTAAAGTAGAAAATGAAAATAAATGGCAAAAATACAGTGCAAATGCTTTAAACGGTGCACTTTATAAAATAGTTTGCTTTATTCATACTTTTTAATAAAGTGCAATGTTACCTAAAACAGAGAGACATGTACCTTAATATTCTGCAATAACCATTAAAACAAATTGCCAGGAAAGAGCAGTGCAAAATTAAAAACATACACATAGCTTAGCATGCATCTCAGATGGATCCCACAGAGTATGGGACCTTGAGTTCTTATATCTTTTTTTTTTTTTTTAACTTTTTGGAAAAACATTAATAATAGCAGGTTATCATCATATGTAACCATAAAATAAAAACAATAAGTTAAAATCTTCTCTCCAGAAATAAGTATATGCCACACATAAAATTCGTTACAGAATCTTTTTTTGAAAACAGACCCCTTTCTCTGATAAATCACCATTTGAAGGGTGCAAATTTCAAAAACCCACATTGTCCACAAGGCAAAGCAAAAGGCATCATCACAGTATGAGTCATTTCTTGTTGGCAGACACCCGGAAAACCTGTGACTTGTTCTGCAAGCAGCTCAAATCTAACCCTAATTAAATTTACAGGAACCTTTGCTCTTTCATGAATAGTCTTGTTGGCATCATGCTAGGTTGCTAAAAAGAGTAACATGTGCTCTATTCACAGTAACATTCTCTGTCCAGTGCTTTTGGATGAGGATAACCAAACAGGTTTTTCTGAAAAAAACCATTAGGAGGCAGATTCCAATGAGACCAACGGGAAACATTTTTAAAAGCATAAAACATGGCCTCAGGCATATGCTGAGGGAAACAAGGTGCAATGGATCACTGTCACACTCCTACCATGCCTAAGCTACTCAGTCCGAGAACTGGAAGAGGGTCTCTGGGTTATTGCTGTCGGCAGGATTGCTGGGCTGCAGAGTCTTGGTGGGTGTAGTTTTACCATGAGAATGAGAGGAAGAAGAATGGGAACTCTCACTGGAACTGCTGCGCGTCTCCGTACTGGTGCTAGTCTTTTTCATTTTTCTTCTCTTAGCCAAAGGGGCCTTATCGACATTCTGAAGGCAAAATCCCTCTCTTTTGTATTTGTTAAAGGCCTAGGGGAGAAAAAAAGGGAACCTCTGTGAAGGTAAAAGCACTGACGTTTTCCTAGCAGTTATGACTTACAGCAGAAGACAACTTTCCATTGGTAAATGCAGCCCCAAGTTGTTTTAAGGGAACAAAGCTCAGAAAACCTTTGTATCGAAGTCTACTGGCAGGGTGGAGAAGTTCACCAGAAAACATTTCTGAGGGCTCTGTTTAAATCAAACTAGCTAGGCTGTCTGAGAGTCACAATTCTAATAAATCTTTGGAAGAAGTTAGTACAACAGTCTAAAACAAAACAATCGAATGGAAATTCATGAAGACCATCTGTAACCTAAACCACCCCCCAGTGCTTTTACTGGTTCTGTGTCTAAGATTTAAAATTCTGAACACAAAGTCCCAATGCAAGCAGACTTGATGCATTGTAAGTCTTTGCTCTTTACTTCCCATTCAGTGACAGGGTATATCCTGAACACTTACACACACAGAGAAGCACAGCTCTACAGCCTCGCCCTGGCCCCCTCCTCCTGTAGCCTGTCTTCACGCTGCTTAGCCTAGGCTTGGACAAGGCTATAGTTACTCCTTTTAGTTGTCACCTTGCATCCTATGTCATGAGAAGATTTGGATCATCTGACACAAATTCTTGCAGTTAATCTCTTTACCATCTCAACATTTCCTAGTTTATTACTTTTTTTTTTTTTTTTTTTTTTTTTTTTTTTTTTGAGATGGAGTTTCGCTCTTGTTACCCAGGCTGGAGTGCAATGGCGCGATCTCGGCTCACCGCAACCTCCGCCTCCTGGGTTCAGGCAATTCTCCTGCCTCAGCCTCCTGAGTAGCTGGGATTATAGGCACACGCCACCATGCCCAGCTAATTTTTTGTATTTTTAGTAGAGACGGGGTTTCACCATGTTGACCAGGTTGGTCTCGATCTCTCAACCTTGTGATCCACCCACCTCGACCTCCCAAAGTGCTGGGATTACAGGCTTGAGCCACCACGCCCGGCCCCTAGTTTATTACTTTTTAAATCCATTTCTGCTGCTGAAGAAGCGCTATCCCTATCCCTTCTCCTTTCTCAAAATAATCCCTTTGAAGGTGATTTTCTTTCTCCATAACTCATACTATACATGAATTATCTTAATGTATTTGCATCTACTTGACACAAATGTGCATAATCCACAGTTTCTGCCACACAGTCTCAGCCTTTCAAACATATACTCTATACTTAATCCCAATTAACTTACTTCATATCCCTCCCAGTTTTAAGAATGTGTGATGTACTAAATGGCTGTGGAATGAATGGACTTTCACATATGCCTTAGTTCCTAATGTTTATTATGGTTTTTAAAGAAAATGATTTAGTTTATTTGAGAGAAAAATGTTCTATTTATCTCATCTCATGAGGTCATTCTACAAATCAAATACATACTTTGTGGGTTAGCAGTGACTCTGGTCCCCTGTGGACTTTCTGCTATAAAGTATTTATAACCAAGAAGCAATTTATTAAAACATACTTAAAAGTAAAAGGACACATATTATTTTAAACATGAAACGAAGAAAATGTATCTGAGGCTACAGAGTAAGAACATTTGATTACGATTCCTACTCCAACTGCCCAACATGTGCAGAGCACAGGGCCTTACGTGGAAGGTTGCTTTCACGCAGGTATGCACGGCAGCTCCTGAAGATCCCAGAATATCCGGAGTCATCAGAGGATTTGAGGACAGCTGGCTGCCATCTTGAAGCCATTCATTGTACCTCAAGCCAGACATTTTAAGCCTTTTGTTTGGATCAACTGTAAGAAGTCCTGTGGGAATAGATATTTTTATTCTATCATTTTAAAGATAGTTTTTAAAAAACCTCAGAAATAAATCTCAATTATGTTCACATGACATGATGGTTTCTATCTGGCTTTAACCGCCTATAGAGATAATTAGATTTTCTTATTCATTTAAATTCTTTAGTGAATACTGGATTCTAATGATAAAGTCATAGTAGCCTACTTCTAGGAAGCTGCAGGCTAACTAAGTGGCTTTTCAATCAGGAGAAAAGAACCAACCAAAACAAAGACTCCCACTGGTGACTTGGTAAGCTCCAAATGAGCAAAGCGCACGTAATCTACTTCGTCCATGTACCAAACACTTACTGGCCATCTTCTACAGGTCAGGAAGGGCAGTAAGGCACTAGAGATACGGAGATGGAGATACAGGGAGGAGCTATTAATATCAGAAGACACACAGACAAAACCCCAGCTATTATAATATCAGGGACAAGTGCAGTGGCAAGACACACAGACACAGTGTGTGGGCAGCCTGGGGGAGAGTGTAGCCTAGGCAGTGTGGGCCTCCTGGAAGGCTTCTAGGAGATGAATCCTGTAGGATAAGGAGAAGTGGCTTGGGGAAGAGGAGGGCTCCAGGGATTAAGAAGAGCGTGTAAAGACACGAGGGATCTGAAAGCTCGGCACTTCTGAGAAATTCAAATATCCTCCAATGGCATTGCTGGGGTGAGGAGGAAGCAGAGGTGTACAATATCAGGTCATGAGGGGCTTTGAATGTTAAATGCTAGGCTAAGGAGTCTCACCTGAAGCTGAGAAGTGAGACCCCTTACCCAACTCCCTCCTCGCAGACCTCCACCTCCTCCCTCTGGATGAGAAGGAGGGTAAAGAGAGATAAAATACCAAAGAACTAGAATCCGTGGTCAAATGATCTGCTGTGAAGTGACTTGCTGACACCACTGACCAGGCCATAATGAGCCCAAGGACTAGGAAGATAACTCCCTTTTCCATTCCCAGCATCTATGCTAACTATAAACCTTGAAGTGTTGCAAATAATGTTTTCCCTACCTGCCAGAGCCTGGCTCTGGGTCATGTCCTCCACTTTTACACGACCCAGACCCTCTCCTGGAAATACCTCTGCCAACTAATGATCTACTGCCTTTGTCTTGTGTCTGTAAGCCCCCTCCCCTGCCTATTCCCGCATGCTCTGCATATGAATTAGCAAATCAACGAAAGCCAAAGACTGTGAGGTCAGTTGCCCAGCCAATGGGCAATAACACAGTTTCACCTCCGCTCCCCCTTCAGAGTTCTAAGTCCTTAAAAAGGGAAAGAAGCCACTTCTCTGGGAGCTCAGTGGTCAAGGCATTAGCCTCCTGCAGCTCCCGGCCAAATAAAAAGCCACTTCCTTTCTCAGTTCGGTGTTCTGAGAGGTTTGTTCCCCTCTGATCCTGCTACAAAGCGAACAGAGTCTCCAAAGGATTTTCAGCAGAAAAGAGGCATAATCACTTTTGGATTATAGAAAAGTCCCTCTATCGATAGATGATGAGAGAGATAATAGTTTAAGTTGGAGGAAGTGAGGCAAGGTGAAAGGATGCTGGAATATCTGGGGAGAGAAATGGTGATGAGAACAACGGCAATGGCAGGTGAATTGAAAGGCAGGGACGGCCAGGAGCACTGCTGAATCTGTAGGACTCCGTGACTGGCTGCGGAAGGCGAGGCAGGTGCAGGTACCCAGGAGGACATCGATGTTTCTGTTTTGGTGATCTGGCTTCTTAGCAGTGCCACTATTGACAGGAGGAAAGACAAGAGGAGGAGCGTGTTTGGGGGAAAGAACAGTCAAAAAGTATTGGTTTGTTTTAGATGTGTTTGACTGAGATGCTAGTGGGAGCTAAGTGCTAGTTCATGCTAGAAACGTAGATGTCATTGCTAAGGAGAATGTTCTGATGAGAAGACAATGCTGAAGAGAGTAGCCTTTTTATATTCTAAAAAGCCTTTTAGAATATACATGGATTCCTCGAGTAATTAGCACACATGTATGTGTAATGGGCATGATTCCACTTCAATCACTACACATCATATAAAAAATGTAAAATTTCAGCTGGGTGTGGTGGCTCATGCCTGTAATCCCAGCACTTTGGGAGGCCAAGGTGGGAGGATCACAAGGGCAGGAGTTTGAGACCAGCATGGCCAATATGGTAAAACCCCATCTCTAATAAAAATACAAAAATTAGCCAGGTATGGTGGCAGGCACCTGTAGTCCCAGCTACTCCGGAGGCTGAGGCAGAAGAATCAATTGAACCCAGAAGGTGGAGGTTGCAGTGAGCCAAAATTGCACCACTGAACTCCAGCCTGGGCAACAAGAGTGAAACTCCATTTCAAAAAAAAAAGAAAAGAAAAAAAAAGAGTAACATTTCATTAGAGTCTTACCTTGGATCAAATCTTTAGCCTCTTGGGATACATTCTTCCAGGCTTCTCCTTCAAAGGAGAAGTCTCCCTTTTTAATTTTCTTCATGATTTCCACTGCGCTGGTACATGTCAAACTTCGGTCATGAGATTGGAAGGGAACCTGTCCTGACAACATTGTGTACTATCAGGGAAAAAGTAACAAAACAGAATGACTACCCAGATATGTTAAAGCCACTCTCTAATAATCCTAATAGTAACGTCATCGGTGTAATTTACTAACTACTACGACTAGCATAATTGAGTTTAAAAGACTATGTGACTTCTATCACTGAGGCAGCAAATACATCTCAGAGAGTTGTAAACCAGTGGCATGGCTTATTCTGATGTAAAGATTTAAAATCACATTTATAAATATGTTCAGGGCAATAAGAACAAAAATGGATAATCCCAACTGCTGCAGAAAAGATGGTACTGATGTTAACAGAAAAGAGAGGGACAGCAGAATCCCTTAATAACTATGCTTTTCTATACATTTCCACCATTCTTTCCCCAGGACACGGAACCATGGTTAAGGACTTGAAAAACTTTATATAAGCATTCCCATTTGATCTGTAATTACCCCTGTTTTTATTTTATTTTTCTCACTCTTGTCTTAAATACAGTGAATTATCTACAGCCACCTGTTTTCATTGTAGCCGTATGTCTGAAATCTATGTTTAAGATTTTTCCCCTTTAAAAAGTTAAGAGAATAACAAGCCAAGGCTTGTCTTTGTAGCAGAGATTGGATTTTAGAAAATCGTTCCTTTAAAATTCTTGGCGGGGGGAGCAGCTTTCTCTGCTCGCTGATTTTTGGTCTTGCAGAGATGGTAGGCTGGTTATCAGTGGTGGTGGGCTGCCTGGTGTTAAGTAGCTAGTGTCTGCATATGGACCAGAGTGGACGAAGAGACTGCCCCACCAAACAGTGTGAAAAGGGACCAGTGGTGTCGGCAGAAGCCTGGGCTGAGAGAAGCGTGTTCATCATGGCACTTAGGAAGGGACACATAGGGGAGGCTCAGTGTCAACCCCAACCCTTATTAGGAAGCATGGAAGCCACAGGACACTCTGGGGATCTAGAAACAACATGCCATCTTTGTTTTCTGGTCACGCATCTGAAAAGGAGGCTTGCCCTCACAGTGACAAGACAGTGAAGCAGCTTTTACACACTGACTCTCAGAAAAGATGGAAACTCCTAGACAGGCTAATAAAAATAACATAAAAAGGACAACCAGTAGATCCAATAGGTACATAATAAACAAACTATGAGTAAGAAGGATGGAGAAGACAGGAATAAGACCCACACGCAGAGGTAGAGAAATTTGACAACTCCGAGGTTACTAGAGACTAGAAGGCTTTGGGCAAATTTGGATTTTCCGAAATAGAAAATTGTGCCTGAGAAGAATAAAAACTATATGCATGACAATGTGCAGAGTTTGAAAATAGAAGAAGACATGGAGAAGGAACCTCGGTTCCTAATTTGGAGCAACCTAACAAGGAAGATTCATTGCTGTAAGAAGGGCAAGGTCAGAACATCTGTAGAACACAGACAAAACTCCCTAAAACCTTGATGTAGCTTCAAGGCAGGCTCCGACTAGGTCTGAGTGAGCCAGTCCACAGGCTGGCAGTAACTGTCCAAGATTAGGCTGCAGTCTCATAACTGATGCGGTGCCTCCGCCTGCCCCTCACCTGACTTCTTGCCTCCTGTATCCTTCATGCGGACACCAGAGTAACAGTCACGCAACTTAAATCTTACAACATCTCCCTGTTCAAATCCCGTCACTGGCTTCTTTCAGTCTCTGACTCTTGCCTCTCTTGTTCAGCCTCAGTTTCTTCAGTTCCCCATATTCCAATCCTGTGTTCCTCACCAAGAGTTCTTGGGCCTCTGGGACTTTTCACATGCTGTTGGTCTTAGAATGCCATTTTCTTTGTCCAGCTGGCAAAGTACCAAGCATCCTAGGGTGCCTAGGGTGTAACCTTTCGGTCTGGGTAACCGGGAAATCTGCAGTCCTCTACTCCAGAGAGAAGACATGTGGCACAAAAGCAGGGGAAATGAGCATTAGGGTCACATCTGGCTGCAAACAACTGCTTTTTCAATTACTAGCTTTGAGACGGGCAAATTTGTTAACTTCTCTTAGACCATTTCTTCATGGGCAAAAGTAGCAAGTCATATATAAGGCTATACGAAATCATATACCTAGTATTGTGTCTGACATACAGTAGGTGCTCAGCAAATGGTTAATCGGTTTGTCTCTTAAGGCTTCCCCTCTATAGAAAGAACCCTTTCTTCATGATCTTATCCTCCACTCCTGTATCCACAGAACTGAGGGCCAAAATCTACAAAGCCACTGAATTGGTATGCACACCTATAGATGCCTTATCACTTTGTGGGGTAACTCAATACAACGGCTCGCCATGCTAAACCATGAGCTCTCTAGAAGCAGAACTAGGTCTTATGTATCACTCTATCCCCTGAACCTTGCATAGTCCCAGAGTTTGCTATCCCAGTATCATTATTTTCTGAATGAGTAAGAACTCTTTAAGAATACTTAAGACAGGAATATGATAGAGATTGTACCGTGGTCTTGACTAAACAGAGGAATGCCACCAAATGATAGCTCTAATGAGTCTGTGGAACTTGTGTCACATGTATTCCAGACCCCCTCCTCTTCCTCAGATGCCAGGAATTCAGCTCCTTTCCCCTCTCTTTCTGCAATCCTATTTCCCTGACACTTGCTGCTGAACAGAATGTAGTTTCCCCAGGTCTTGCCTTTCTAGCTGCAAGTTTACCTCCCCAAACGTGGCGAAAAAGTTCTCCTAACATCTATGGGGAAGCAAGGAAAGGAAAGTAGGGCAAAATTAGTCCTGTGAATGCGATAAGCATCTTTATAGGGTATTTTCCTGATCCCCCAGAAGTGGAATGATATAATTCTCATTCTGCAGAGCAGAAAACTGGGCATGGAAGTCAGGTTATTAGTCTGCCCAAGATCCAGCCTGAAAGAGGAACTTAGTGGTGGTGGAGATAGTGCTAACAGTAGTAATAAAAGGAGCTAATGTTTATGGACTGCTTTCTTTGTGCCAGGCTCTGTTCTAAGTACTCTATTTGTATTAGTTGGTTTAATCCCCACAACAATCCCATGAGGTGGGTACTATTATCATCCCTATTTTCCCAAAAAGTAAAGTCTTAATAACGTGCCTAAGCTACATTACTAGTAGGTGGCAGTGGTAGGATGTGAATCCTAACAGTTTGTCCCCAGAGTCCAAATTCAGTGTGTTTGACAGTAAATCCTACATTTGTTTTACTAATCCTTATTCAGAAGTCATGAAGTTCCAGAAATTTAACATCATCATCTTGATATCATTTCCTGGTAAACATGTCTACAAGCCATTCTAATTTTATTCTGGGTACCTTTCTTAGAGGGTGATACACCCTAAGCCCTATTGCCATAACCCTATACTACACCGTTCTTTTGTTTTCTTCCTGCTCTTTTCTCAGACTGATTAAAAAAAAAAAACAACTTTTATTTAGACATAACATGCATAGAGGTAAGTGCCAAATACTAGGTGTACAGCTTACTGACATCCCAAAATAATACCTGTAACCCAGCACCCATATCCAGAAACAACATTCCCAGCATTCCAGAAGCTCCTTTCTTATGGAGCATAAAACCTGATGGAGGCCAGGAGTGGTGGCACATGCCTGTAATCCCAGCATCTCGGGAGGCTGAGGCAGGAGGCTCAGTGGTAACAGTAGTAATAAAAGGCAGGAGGCTAGGGGGTTCAAGATAAGCCTGGGCAGTGTAGCAAGATCCCCATCTCTACAAAAAATAAAAGTAGCCAGGGGCAGTGGCACACACCTGTAGTCCCAGCTACTTAAGAGGCTGAAGCAGAAGAATTACTTGGGCCAGGAGTTCGAGGCTGCAGTGAGCAATGGAGTGAGACCCTCCTGTGGTCTACTAAAAAAAAAAAAATAGTAATAATCCCCAAACCCAAAAACTTGGAGAAGAAATTACTGCCATGGGAATACTCATCTGAGACTCAGAATTCAAATTTCTGGCAGATACCTGGAGTCGGTGCTGGCAGCTGAAATGGCTCCCTGAGGCCTGGACACAAAAAGATAGTATGGGGTAAATTAAATGAGATGCTGAACTTCCTCGGCACAGCGCTCAGGAAGCAGTTCAACAGCTAAGGAAAGTGAATGACTGCTGGAAGAGATGGACCACATAAGGCTTGAGAACCTGCCATCTGCCAATGCTCCCAGGGAGGGCTTAGAGCACAGTCCTGTCACTGAGGCAGTAAGGAACATACTGGCGAGAGGAGGACTGTGAAGAGAAGTTTGGTGATGGCTGTTCACAGCAGGCCAGGGTTGACAGTGGAAGCGGTTGTCATAGAACTGAGCTCTCTAGCATCAATGCGATGATGGGGTTTAGGCACAGCAGAGACCAGGTGGCCTCACTTAACCATCAGTGGCAATAAAGCAAGGCTGGGCAGACAATTACGATGCCTAAACTTGGAGGGATTTGCAGCTCTGGCTGACAGCGAGGGCAAGGCAGATGGAAAGATGACTAATGTCGCTTGACTTGTTTAATGTTTCTTTCACTGATAAATAGAAAGGCTGGCATCAGCCACTAAATGGAAGAAGTCAGTGTCCCTCACCCAGTTTCTCCATCTACATCAGTTCACAGGCCCACAATTCTTGATTGATGGGGAAAACAGATCCCTTTGAAGAAGGGACTTAAAATGCCACAGCAATTATAGGTAGTAGAGTTCCCCAATTTTTCCACAGAGAGACCTGTGGCCACTTGCCAAGGTATACTAAAAAAGGGAAAAACCCAGGCTTTTATGAGACCTACTTGGGGTCTAAGCACTGACACCAGGGGGCCCCAAAACATTCTAATGATCCTCTGGTGGGAATGGGACTTGTTCATACAGATTACAGATGAAGTTTTGGCCAAAGTTCATTTTGCAGTGCTTAGTACTATCATGGTGCTCACACTGGTTCCCTGGCTTGTGGAGCAAGAGCCATGATGGGAGGAAGTACCAAGTGGAAGCCCCTGAGGCTGTCTCTGGCCAAGATCATAAGTCACAAGCAAAACCTTTTATCTGAGAGATTAATGTCACAATTAACTGAAGAATACAAGGGTGGTA